AATAGTGTCAATAGGTTCGCACAAGAACCTGGCCTGTTTTAGCTAAGTTTAGGACGAAGCACAATAGGCCTTTTTGGAAGCCGCGGTGCGTCTCTTATGTCGGAGATAAAAAAATAAAAGAGGATATGCAAAACATATGAGAGAGGAAACAGAAAAATTGAAAATAGCAGACAAACACTGCATAGGTAGCATACGGAAAAAAATTAAAAGAAATCAAGGTTCTTGTGGAAAATAAAAAAAACGGAATGCTACTTTGTGGTCGAAAGAGAGGAAGCAAAGGAACGCAGAAATGATGAGAAGATACTGAGAGAGTGGAAAAGCGAAAATGAGAAAGGAAAAGTAATGATGATGTAGAAATGGTTGACCGTGATATATTATGAGAAGGAGCTGCGGAGGATGCGGTCAAATAAATACTAAATTTTTACAATAGTATTTTAATAGTTGCGCCGACGTTTCGACTCACTTTGTAGATCTTCATCAGAGCGGGGTATAGGCCACTGCATGAAGACCTACAAAGTGGGTCGAAACGTCGGCGCAACCATTAAAATACTATTGTAAAAATTTAGTATTTATTTGAACGCACACCTCCCCTCTCTCTTGACCAACTCCTCAAAAAGTAATGATATTCGCTTGGTCTTCAAAGGCCATTTTGTGAGGGGGAAAACAACATAAAATTAGGTAAATTAAAAAAAAAAAAAAAAAAAGACAAACCTATATGTATTATTTACAGTCAGACGAGTTAATTCCGATGCAGGTTTCTCCATCCAAACATGGAGGAAAAAGTAGGACTCCAGGCACGAGCTGGATCTCCGGGGTGGAGGGGAGGCTTTCGGGTAGAAACCCCTCCCCCCCAAAGCGGAAAAATAACTATGTCTTGTAAAAAAATATCTAATAATTACCTCTAAAAGTATTATTAATAAAGTGATGCATCAATTTCATTATGATACAATGTTGCAAAAATATTCCAATAATAACTTAAAGATGATGTATACAGATACAGATTCGCTTATTTATAAAGTTTTAACAGATGATGTCTTTGAAGATATGAAAGAAAATACTCCTTCTCATTATCCGCTTTAAGTTTAATAAATAATATGCTAATTTAAATAATTATAAATAATATAAAGTTCAGTAAATAATATGCAGTATTCGCTACTGGTTGGTTTACAGATTGTATAATTATGATAAAAATATAATGTTCAAAGGCTACAATTTTTGAACAATTTAAAATAAATGAAACAATGTTTAAAGGCTACAATATTTGAACGATTTAAATTCAAAGAAACAGTGTTCAAAGACTAAAATTACTGAACGATTTAAAGTGAGCACAACAGTGTTTAAAGGTCACAATTTTCGAACGATTTATTATGAACGAAACAGTGTTTAAAGGCTAAGATTTTTGGCGGGTAATGGGCGCCGGCATCTTGCTCCGAGGACCTATGGCAGGATCGGCCTTTTCTATCTACTATTTGCACGGCAGGGATGTATATAAATAAAAACAGTATTATTAATGTAATTACATTTGATTGTACTTAAAGAATCACTTCAACTCTATCTCATATAGTTAGTTAGTTCATTTACTTTTTCTTATTAACAAATTATCGCTTTATATTTTTTTTTAAAAATCTTTCGGGCTGATTTTTTTATATTGTAGATATAAAATACATTACATCTATATGTATTTTAGGAGGCCGCGTAGGTCGAGCGAACTTTTTTTTTTCTTAACCCCATATGTTGTGGTGTTGAGAACAGAGTGGTATTACGAGGCTTAAATATGAACTCTTGTACTTCACAGAGTACATTTTAAGAAGTGGATATGGAATTGGGAGTACTGTGGTAATTCATACTTATGGTGTATCTTATTCTAGTGACGGGGCTCACTAGTGTCCTAAAAACGTCAATTTTCTCAGTCTAGTAATAGGTTTTTAATATATGTCTGCCATTTCATAGGTTTGTGAGAAAGTGGTTTGTCGAGTATTTAAGGCTATCAAAGAATTTGATATGCCTGCGTGTAATAAAGTCGCCCACCTTCGGTAATTCGAGGGTGGTATGTAGTAGGTCCGTACGTGTTTTTTGAAAAGTCGTGTGTCTCACTATTTTTCTGAGCACACAGTTCTGAAACTGTTGCAGTTTCTTCGCTGTTCCCGGTGATATATTAGTTAGGAATGGTTGGCTCCATAAAGGAGAGCAGGTCTTAGAATGCTCTTGTAAATTGTTAATTTGAGGGAGGGGAACGAGCTATGGCAAAAATATTAAACCCAAGTGTTAAAATCCCGTATTAATCCCGAATTAATAAAACACACAAAAAAAATTTATAAGTGCAGACCCTTCTCAACTAGTTGGAACACTATAATGCGGGTTCGATTCATCGGTAGCGTCCTAGAGTAACGTCCCCAACTTTAGGGTCTGTGTCTTAAACCATAGTTCCTGGTCCTCCAGGTTGGGGGTTGGGTATAAACCTGATAATCCCGTAAAAAAACTAGGTGGAAAATTAAGGGGCAGGATGACCGAGTGGGCTAACAAGTTTGCACAGCACCATGCGTTGCCCGGCAACCTGATAACCAAGTTTTCAGATAAACAAATAATTACAAGTTCAAATCCCGGTGACCGGTGGAACTTTTAACTCGGCATAATTCCTCATTGGCCCGGAGAAAAAAAAAAAAGGATTGAAAATTGAAGCAACACACTGCCAACCATCCATATCAGGAACTTTCCTGAAGAGGGAGTGAAATGTGATTGCGTCCGTTTATTAAACTACGTACTTCCTGGATATCTCGAAGATGAGAGAACGAAACGACCACTACTGTCACCTGTAACAGCTTAAAGCTGCATGAAGAAGACTCATGACTTAAAAAGTCAAAGTCAACAGGGAAAGAAAAAAAAAAAAGATTGTACATAGAATTTGTTAAGTGACATCTGACTCAGGATAATAAAATTATTTTTAATTTCATTCTCAATTAACATACACAAAAAAAACTCTTTTTTTTTTTTTAAATATGTATTTGCGCCTGTCAACTTATTGTTGACAATCAGCAAATGTGATGGCGATACATGAAATAATGACATGACAGGCATGGGGAAGGAAAGTACTCAGCAGTACCTCTTCCCTAACTTGTTCCAATTACTTAGGTTGTTTAAGGAAGGAGATCTCTCATCCAACGCCTTTTTAGTCTCCTCCTCATGTTCTGAGGTATGTCAGCTGTGGCCATGTCTCTTATTAGTCTGTTATTATGTCCATTTAAATTTGTGTAAAATCGTTGATAAAGGGTCGTTATATGTTGGTCAACTGTTGGAAAGTGGAGGTCAGTATGTAGAGTTTTGTTAGTCACGTACCAAGGTGCTTTTGTTATGAGTCGCAATAATTTTGATTGGAACGTTTGAAGTTTTTGTAGGTGGGTCTTTTTAGCGATGCCGTATATTTGTGATGAGTATGTCCATATGGGCTTAAGTAAGTATGTATATGTATTCAGTTTCTGTTTTAGTTTTAGTTTTGAAGATTTAGAAAAAAGAGAGTAAAGTAGTTTGAGTCGTTTGTTAAGTGTCTTACGTTTCATTTTAACATGCGGACCTCCTTCTGTCGAAGGTGAGTCCAAGGTAAAGTACCATGTCCGTTTGAGGAATTTGATTGTTGTCAATATAAACTGGAGGGCAGGTGTTTTTTCGAAGAATAAATGTTATATGTTTGGATTTGTCATGATTAAGTTGAATTTTCCATAGTGTGAACCAATCTTGTAATTTAAGTAAGTGATGTTGTAGTATACCAAAATCTAATATGTAAAATAAAAATTTCTTGTTCAATTTTAACTTCCTTCCTATTTATAAGATTCATAAATTTTTTTTTTGGTATATATTTGAACCAGGACTTTCAATTTCAATCTGTTCAAAAGGTAAAAAATGTATTTGCCTGAATAAACATAAGGTTTAAGAATGTTTGTTATTGTTTATTTCAATTAAAAATTCATTTTAATTTAAAGAAAAAAAATAAAAAGCATAATTAATGAGTCGATTAACCATAATGATTGATTCGTTGTGATTCAGTTCAGGTAAAATCAAATTTTCCATCTCTAGTTGCAACCGATGTACAGTTCAGCACTTTGTTAAGAAGTACTATTTCATGGTTAACAGTTATGCAGTGAGGTGATTTCAGTGAGAGATTCCACAGGACCTTCAGAGTTTTTCTCTTAATTAATTATTTAATTAAGATCACTTACTTTACACAAGCTAGGTATGCCTTCGAAAGCTTTCCAAACCCTATAATCGATCCACAGCTGATATAACAGAATCAATAAATACCTGCCACAACCAGACTTGAGCACAAGACCTCGATCCTAGTAGTGCCTTACTCATTAAGCTTTTGCTCTCCATCAAACATTTAGAGCTGCATAGCTGGATGAGCTGAAAATTTAAAAAAAAAAATTAAGGTACCATGGAAGATTGCGCCTAGGCTAGAAAAGTAAAATACATATAGAATTTTTATTATCATTTTATCACCAGATAGAACCATTTTTTAATTTTTAAAATACTTTAGCAGATGTCTATGAAATAGATATTTATATAAAATTGTCAAAAAAAATAATATGTATATATAATATATATATATATATGAATTCTACAACTTCAGATTTTGATGATAATAGTAATAATTATTAAATTTACCATTCCTGCTAACATTTTTTTATTCTCATGTTAACTGATCAGAGGTTCATAATATTGCACTGAATACAACTTGTTATCATTGTTTTAATAATATTTCACAACAAGGAATTAGAAGATAATATTTAATTTTATTTTTTATTTTAAAATCTGGAAAATACATAGTACACAATGTTGAATAAAGTCTCTATAAACTTCAATGCAATCTAGTTTAGAGTAATTTGGTGCAAATTGGCATCAATTTTCTCACTTGTTGCTATCTCAAAAGGGACCTTATCTTCAACCTAAACAGTCCGTAACAACATAAAAAATAAAATAAATCATACTAAATTTTTATTGACTTTCAGAATCATGGATCTTGATGAAATTCTTAAAGATCTCGGAGAATTCGGGAATTATCAGCTAATAACATATGGTCTTCTCTTTTTTCCACTGGCATTTTCGTCAATGTGCTCATTAAGTTATGTCTTCACAACAGGAAATTTAGATTACAGGTAAACTTCTTTTTATTATTTCAAAGTATTTTTATTTTAAGTCTAAAAAGGTATATCTCAATAATCTCTTATAGAAATAGGAAAATGACAATTCCAATTCATTTAGAATTTTTTCAAGATATAACAAACGGGTCCAACTGTGCAAACTGACTTTGTTTATTGATATAATATAATGATAAATATTTAATATAAATTGATATTGATATTGTACATGATTTATTTATATTTTAGTAAAAAGGCAGGACTAGTGAGTGAAGATTTTTAATAATATTTTTGTCATTTTATTTTTATAGTTTTAATTCATTAACTACAAAAATGCGAAAGGTCGCACGTAACTATTTTCCATGTTTATCCTATTTGTGCTAAGGTGACATTGTAATCTGCAACTGCAGTAAGTAGTCCGCTGTTATGGAAAATAAAATATGAAATTATACTTATAAATCATAAAGAAATAATCAGTTTTTATACTTTTCTGTATAAAAACTCAATTTTTACATATGACCTTTTGCACTACCAGTAGTAATATATGTTTTATCATTATATTTAAGCAAAATTAAAATTAAGTGTGCTGTGTTACAGTGAACATTTTTAGAAATGTTAAAAAAAAAATCAAAATCTTGATTTAATAAATTGGAGGAACTAAATTAATCACAGTAGTATATTACAGGGATGAGTATTTAAAATGATTGTTTATAATTTAAAAGAAGAAGAAAAATAATAAGCATTATGTAAATTATCATAAAGAAAATTGTATGTAAATCAAATAGCATTGAATGGAAAAATATTTCTGGGTTGTGGGTTGATGGTTGACTGTAGTGAATAATTGAAGAGAATTGTTGGGGTGACCAGTCGAAATAAAAATAGAAGAAATAAATAATTGCATTTATTTTCACATTCGCCGACTTTTCGGCCTGAAGTTCAGGCCTTCATTAGGGCTGTTCAATTAGACAAGCGTAGACAGACCATGGACAGTAGATGTCCACACTTGTTGAATTGAAGAGCTCTGATAAAGGCCTGAACTTTGGACCTAAATGTCGGCGAATGTGAAAAAAAAAATAAAAGGAAAAATATTTCATACATTTTAACAGAACGTGGTTTACTCCTCATAAAAGAAGGGAACTAAATATTATTATACAAAAAGGATAAATAAATTAGAATGATAATAATAATGGGAAAGAGACTTTCATATAAGTATATGTACGAATTTAACCACTATAGTTTCAATAGTAAAATAATTTAATGTAAAATTATCCGAATTTTCTGCTCTTCAGGGACATTAACTGATTTTTATCTGAAAAATATATAAAAATATCTCAGAGGACTTATATATTTTTTTATATGTTTGTGATTATATATTTTAATGTTTGAAATGCCTCTTCCCTGAGAGATTAGTCTTATTTTGAGTGAACTGGACTAGGTGTACACTGCTGTACACAAGTATGTTTTCTATTTTATGTATATATTTTTTACTTTTAATGTTCTTTTTAATGCTTTTATTGATTTTATAAAGGGGCTAGGATCTAATTGTAAGTCTTCTGAGAGATTTTATATATATTTTTAAAATAAAAATTCACAAAATGTTTTAAAATCAGATAATATCTCTGAAAAGGCAAATATTCGGACAGTTTCATAATAAATTATTTTATTATTAAGACTATAATTGCCTAATCCCTACATATAGGATAAATACACGTATTTTCTTTTTGCAGGTGCAAAGTACCAGAGTGTGAAACAAATATAACATCATTTGATGAACCTTGGCTTTCAGATGCATTACCTTACAAAAATGGTAAATTAATGGATAGTTGCAAACGTTACCAACCCAAAAATAATAATTACCATGAAAATTGTACAAGCAGTCTTTTTTCTAGCCAAATTGAAAGTTGTCATAGCTTCATCTTTAAAAATACTGAAAATAGTATAACTAAAGAGGTGATTATTAATATTAAGCTATCATAAAATGGGTATATCATTTAACATATAACATATATGTTTAAGTAATATGTATGGCCTCTGGATATATGTATTTTTTATTTATTTATTTTTTTTTTGTGATGCTTGAGAAGCAGACATTGGAAAAAAACAGTGACAGCTCTAAATCATGGGATAAAATAACTTTTTTTTATCTTTTTAAACATAAGTCAGACGAATTGTCCCAAGAAATTGAGAATGGTTACGAAAGTTAGGTAAAACATTTATTAGGATTAAGCTACAAAAAGATATTTGTAATTTTTGATATGTTGTCAGTGTTTGTGAAATGGATTAAAAAATTCAAGTTTTCGAATAAATCCCACCATCGGAAGTGCAGCCATTTTGAGAAAAACTAATGATTTTTTTCTGTTTTTTACAAATATATTTTAAAGTATCAGTCCGACAAAAATTCATTGTTTATTTTTTTTATTACTTTTTGAGACTAATAAAAATGTTATGGCTGTAAAATTCTCTAAAAGCTCAAATTCTCTATCAGATACTAATCCAACAGGAAAATGAAAAGTTTCAGTCTGAATTTAGAGCACCTTATTTTCATTAAATATATTCTACTACTCTACTATTAATCTTCCTAAGATTTCTTATAATATTTGTTTGTTGCTATATTTGAACTATTGAGGAACAAGAACTTCTTTGTTTTATTTCCTAGCTCAATATGTCTATGAAATCACACACAGAATCATCTGAGGAAGCCCAAAAGAACTTTAAACGAAATATTTAATTTTTGAAAATATATTTGCCCCTTTCTTCTCCATTGAGATATTTTCCAGCATTTTTTATTTCTTATCGGTCTATCATTAATATAAAAACTATTTATGTGAACAAAAAATATTACTAATAAGAAAACACACGTATAACCAGTAACCATTTATGTGTCACAGTTTGATTTATTGTGCGAGGAAAACAAATGGAAAAGAACTCTTGTAGGAACTCTAAACAATGTTGGTATGTTTATTGGACTTCCTCTATCAGGCATATTATCAGACAGGTAAGAAATAATAAAATTTAAATAATAAAAAACATTCTCCAGTTTGTTCTTACTAATTTTATTTCTATTTGAAATAAAGGTTTGGCAGGAAAAAGGTGGTCGTAACATGTGTGGTTGTATCATCTATGTTCACGACACTAAGATCTTTTTCGCAGAATTACGTCCAGTTCATAATATTGGAAGTTCTTGATGCATTAGTATCAGCAGGAACTTATGTAGGAATTTTCATATTAGGTAAGAAATATTTGCATTTTATAAGGTAATAAGATATTTATGAGCATATAAAAAAATTGTATAGTCGAGTGTACAAATAAAGCAGTGTTATTGGAATGAAATACATTTAGTTTTTGATTGGTCATAACTTATAAAGCATAATTGAGAAAATTTGGAAAAATTTGGAAATTGAGCCTAAAAAAAAAAATGTTATATGTTCAGTTATCATTGGTAAATTTCCCTATTCGTCCTTCGCATCCAATCCTTTACCAGTCCAAATATTCCTCAAAGGATCTTTCTTTCAAATATTATAGTTTCCCTCTCCTCATTACTTGTGAGGGTCCAGTCTCTTGTCCATAAGTTAGGACAGGCTTTTTAATAGTTTTGTATAAGTGGCACTTAGTATGATGGGAGAAATAGGAACTTCTCAGCCGATTTCTGAGAACAAAATAGCAGCTGTTGGCTTTGATGAGTTGCTGACTAATTTCCGTGGAGATGTATTTGAATTTTTTCATAAACATAATGTAATTTTATCAAATCTTCTTATTGTTAACAAATAGTTCTTAATGAGATTGCATAATTCATTATTACTATCCATGAGTCGAATCAATTCATTATATTGACAGTTTCAAAAGATATTGTGAGATAAAGTTTACATTTTACTTATAAAAATCCATTGTATTGATAATACAAGGAATAGCAAATTATTTAAAAATTAAACATTACCTATTTGAGAAAACGTAAAGTTCTCTATTTTAAAAAAAATATATTAAGAAACAAAATCTAATTATTTTCAGCAGTTTTTTAGCGATTCTACCAGGATCCATTCTCTCTAAATATTCCAAACATCTTAATCAGCTCAAATGCATATAAAAGAAGAAGTTTTCCTTTTTAAGCAATTCCTTAATTGTTTTGATACACCAGGCATCTTCAGCTTTCAATAACAGCAACGAATATATCGATGAAGAACTTTTCACTCTCAAAATTTTAAAAATCTGGTTTTCTGCTGTTAGGATCCATGATTCACTGCCATAGGTGGGAATCAGATTTACTTCTCATAACTTTGCCATCTTTAGGAGTTTCTCTTTCTTGAGAGCTTATTAAACTAAAGGGCCTTCTGCAAACCCTATAGGCCTTGATTCTGGCTTTTATATCGGATTCAATCAAATTATCAGTGATTAAAAACACTCGACACTCTCACAGTTGAATAGTCTGCTCTTCACAGTACTTGTCGGTGGTACAGACCCCTTTTCATCAAATCTTTAACATCCGGCTGAAACTACGTAAATAGCTTCATCTCATAAACCTACAAATATTATATTTAAGAAAATTCTCAGAATTGGGGCAATTTCAATCTACTACTAAGGTACTAAAACCTCGTTTACTTTCCACTTGAATCGCAAGATAACTTGAGCACATAGTCAAGAAAAAAGGTGGCCTTCAAAAAAATGGAGCCGTTTGGCCTATATAAGCTCGTTATTTTGACACTTTGGGGGTGTAGGTCATGCCAAATGGCTCAATATTTTATAAGGCAGCCTTTTTTCTTGACTATATGCTCAAGTTATCTTGCGATTCAAGTGGAAAGGAAGTGAGTATTTATGAGTTTTTAGTACCTAATTAAATAAGCAAAGTTTGCCGACCTTCAGATTTTTGTAAATAAAATATTTTTAAGTTGAGATAAGAACAAGGTATTTACGAAGTTTCAGCCGGATTTTTCTGTTTCCATACAACTGGCCTTCTGGGCATTAATCTCAAGCCACAGTTCCCTTGCTGCTCCTGGAACTCTTCCAGTGTACCTGATAAAACTTAAAGCATTCTTTCTGAGACCATCATGTCATCCACGAAAGCTAGATGTGTTGTTAGGAAGTTGAAAATGTACCACCAGCATTCGTTCTTACTTACCAATTGCAGACTCTAACACTAGGCTGAAGAGCAGTGTAGAAGGCACTGTGTCACCTAACTGCAATCCTTTGGAGCATCTCCATCCGATCTTGACCTTACAGGATGTATTCTTAAGAGTTGTGCCAAGTTTTTAGGGGATCAATAAAGAATGCAGGCATTTGTTTATTTATTCTCCCTATCAATAGTATCAGAAGCCTGCTTGAAGCTGGTAAATACATGGTGTAGAGTCACACTACACTCATTTTGGTTGACCAACTTGATCTAAAGCCACATTGGTGTTCTCCTACTATTTTCTCATACCATTTTCCTGATCTCCTTCCTGCTGGTCACTATCAAGATTTGTATACTATTCCAAGGAGCGTTATTCATTGATAATTTCTTCATTCTCTCCGGCTTCCTTTTTTGTATATCGGACAAACTAATGCTTCAGGCCATTCTTCTGGCTTTTTTTTTTTTTCGGAAATCTATACTTCTAAACATAATCTGATACAAATACTCCCAGATAAAGATTGTGAGATATAGGTTATTTGTTTACTTATATAAATCCAATGTTTTCATAATTTAAAGAATAGCAAAGATTTAGAGGTTGTGCAGTGTCTGTTTGAGAGAATACAAAGTTTTCTATTTCAAAAAGATATACTAGAAAACAAAATATAAGCATTTCATGAAATTTTTGATTATGCTATTAATTTTCTGGTGTTGAATGACTAAATAAATATTGTTCTTTAATTAATATTTATAGAAATACTTTAAATTTTTATTTTGAGCTTGAAATTATTTAAAAATTATTATTGCAGGAATAGAGGTAACAGGACCAAAACGGAGATCCTTAGGAGGAGTTATATTAAGCAGCTATTATACATTTGGTGTTGTTATTTTGGGAGTAGTTGTTTGGCTCGTTGAAGATTGGAGAATATATTTAAGGATTATATCATTACCTTGTCTGCTTATTACTTCTTATTACTGGTATGAAAAATATTGAAATATATCAATATTGATTTATTATTTGTAATTATTTAGTTATATACACTAGCGGATCCAGGATTTAATTTTGGAGGGGACTTCAACCCAAAAGATCTTTTTTTTTATATACATATATACATATAACTGGTTACAGTCTTTCCTATCCGACAGAACTCAAGCAGTCAGCATTCCAAACCAACCCCTATCTTCCTTTCTTACACTGTCCTCTGGAGTGGCCCAGGGTTCGAGCATTTCCCCTCTCCTTTTCAACTCCTACATAAATGATCTTTCCAAATCCATCTACCACTGTTCACATCATTTATACGCTGATGACACCCAAATATATTTTTCCTTTCATCCTTCTGAGCTACTAGTCGCGTTCGCCAATATTCCGGTTGACCTAGATAGGATCAGTGCCTGGGCAAGTCTGAATAATTTAAATCTAAATGCGATGAAAACTCAGGCCATTATTATAGGTTCCAGTCCTATTCTTAAATCCATCTCCTTCCTTCCTCCTTTAGTCATCAACGATCATCCTGTCACATTCAGTTCATCCGTTAAAAACCTAGGAATCACCATAGACGAAAACCTCTCCTGGAAACCCCATATTGCCCTCATCTCCCGTAAGTCAATAGGTACCCTTAAGCTATTTCATCGCTCCCGCCACCTACTCCCACAACCCATCCGCAAGCTCCTTGTATCCTCTCTCATTTTCCCCCACTTTGACTACGGCTGTGTGGTGTACGGAGGCATCCCGATGGTACTCGAGGATAGATTGAAGCGACTCATGAATACGTGCTTAAGATTTGTCTTCGGTACATCAAAGCGATCTCATGTGTCCCACCTTTACGACGAGTTAAAGTGGCTCTTCCCTTCTTTCCGCAGACAATATTTCCTCGGATCTTTTCTATTCCAAACAATCAACACTAGACACCCTTCTTACATCTACAGTCTCCTACAGTTTAAACCCATGGTCCACTCCCAGAAAACAAGATCCCGTGTTTCCGACCTTTATATCCCTTCCCATAGAACTAAGACGTTTGAATATTCCTTTATTTCCCGATCCAGAGCCTTCTGGAATTCCTTGCCATCTGAAATCCGTCATGCCTCTTCCTTGTCCTCATTTAAATATCATCTTTACCAATTCCTTCTCACATCCCAAAATGACGTTATACAATAAAATAAATATTGTGAAACAGATTTTGAATGAGGTGAATGATTGATAAAATTTATTGTCTTAATTCTAAAAATCAACCCATGCTTATTTTATTTTATTTTTATTTTCATTTAAATAATGTTGTTTTTTTTATTTCGTTTTTTCTCAAAATTTTATTTTATTTTTACTTGTTTTAATTTAATTTCACTGAAGATACTGTATATATTCTTTAATATTGATTAATGTAATTTTTGGCCAGATGTAGCTTTAATTTTTTTTGTTCATATCTGTTATTCATAAGGGACCTTGTCCCAGAATAAAGTTTACTTTCTATCTATCTATCTATAACGATAATTAATTTGAAAAAAAGAAAGAAATTAATTACCTATATGAAATGGTGTTTAAGTGGTTCTTGAAGTCCTGTTAAATATAATTACAAGAGCAAGAATACTTTAAGAGATAGTTTTTAATATTTTTTTCTGTAAAAAATGGTTACATTTTACCATTTTGGGGGGGGAGGGAGCTTACTCTGTTTATATAGCTTATTTTTCTTAATATTTAATGTACTTACTGTTTATAATAAGTTTATTTACCTTGTTTATAATTTTTATCTAAATATTATGTAACTTCCACAATTTTGTATATCCTTTTGTATCTTTTACGTTCTAGCCCTGAAGAAGACCTGCAAAGTCGGATCGAAACGTTGGCTTTTAATAAAGTAGTTTAGCCAATATTTTAGTCTATTTATGACTGCCACTCTGCACCATCTCTTTTCTCTATAATAGAACAGTCAAGAATTAAATATTCAATATAAAAAGCTATAAGTTAGAAGTAATGGCTCAAAAAGATTATTTGGCAGAAATACGGTCAAAAAAGTTACATAGAGTATTTCATCTTTGTCTTAGGTCTGCAAAAAAATTGAACCGATAATATAATGCTCATAGAACAAAAATTAAGCAGTTTTATCGTCTCCTGAAAATTTTACTCTATATCCCCATCAAATCAACTGATTATCACTCTCATGACAGGAACAGATGAAGATATGAAGAGAAAAAAAATTATATTTAAAATAAAATATTGAATTTAATCTTGTGATAGAAAAGGTTTTCATCTTATAAACAAGGCTTTCTATTTTCTATATGAGGGTAAATCGAATTTAAACAAAAATCATATTTCATGAATTGATTGATAAATTTTTTTTTAATTATTTTTACATCTCAACTTTTCGGCTTCAACCATGAGTCTTCTAGCAGCTTTGGGCTGTTATAGGTGACAGCTGTGAACGTTTGGTTCTCTTGAAGCATTTAGTATTTCTGCAGATATCTGGAGAGCACATGGTTTACAATAACCTGATCACAATCACTCCCTCTTCATCAGAAACTTTTCTGAAGGATGTTTGCTAACTTAGCAGTAATCTCCACTCTGTTTTTTATGGGATAGAATTATTAGTTCCTTGACCAACTACAAACCTGGAGGACTGGAAGCTAAGTTGTAAGAAACGGGGGTCACTCATCACAAAGCTGTTTAGTGGTCTAAGCAATCGAGTAGCACCTGCACTTATTTATTATTAATTATTTTTATTTTTTATCTTTTCATTATTAAATCGTGAGAACAGGATTTGAACTCATGTCCCTACACATAGAGTGTATTTTGGCACCTTAACTCGCTCGACCACCGCAGTCCCATCAGATAGTTAATTTATTATAAATTAAGTTAATAATTCAGATAAAATAATTAATAAAATGGAGTAATTTTTTCTATGAGAAAATAAAGCTGACATCAATGTTGATGTACTTCTAATTACACATTTAATCTCATTCTATACTTCTCTTGAAGTAGTAGAACATATGCAAAAAATATTAAAAAAAAAAAAAAAGCTTTGAATAGATTTTATTTTAAGAAATCGCAAATTTCTTTTTCTGTGAGTAAGATAAACAAAAAATTGAATTCTTATATTGTGGTCTGACTAATTTAATGGGTTTGTTTCAGGTTACTGCCTGAATCTTTAAGATGGCTCATATCAAATAAAAGAAAAGACGAAGTACTTCAAACTTTAACAAATCTTGCAGAAAAAAACAATAAATCATTAAATGAAAATATCAAGAAATCGATAGAAGAATTAGGATGTACAGATATCGTGGTAATAAATTTTTCAATGTCTCTAATTTATTTTCTTTATAAGATGTATTTTTATCATTAAAGGCCACAGTAAGGTTATGCAGTGCTGATGGAGGCTACAAAAATTCTTTATATTTTACCATTGCTATTTTTATTTATCACTAAATACACACACCAACATACAGACATTCAACTTAATTCAATTAATTCCAAATTTCCATTACTCAAACAATTAAATATTAATTAATTTTAAAACTAGATTAATAAATATTGCACAAAAATCTTTGGAGGCTGCATGGGACTCCGAGGCCACAATTACGTCACAGAGGCCACATGCAGTCTCCGAGGCCGCGGTTCCCTATGGTATATATCATATACTTTTTTTTTAATTAATTATTTTTATTTTAATTTTTTACAGAATATGGATGAAACAAATAATGGACAAGAAAAACAAGTAAAAATCCATCCAATGAGAGAACTATTTAAAACAAGAATAATGCTTCTGCGATTCTTAAATTGCTCGTATTGTTGGTAATCATCTTTATTAACCAATTGATTATATTCATTATATTGATGATTTAAAGAGTAAATTTTAAATTGCTTTAATTTCTTCAAGGATCACGCATACTTTTGTTTTTTACGGCCTTTCACTGAGCTCTGTAGCAATTGCTGGCAACAAGTACTTCAATTTTATTCTTGTAAGTTTCATAGAAATTCCGGCATATATAATTACTTGGTTGACAATTGATATTTTTGGAAGAAAAGTGTCTCTTTCGATGTCTCTTGTGATCAGCGGGATATCATGTACAATGTTCCATTTTTTAGATGCAGGTAGGAAATATGTTTTACTTATTAATATATTAAGTTGTTACAAAAGCTCTTGGGAATAAAATATATTCTATTAATATAAATATTTTCTTAGCATCAATCAAGATTCTGATAGATCAAGGTATGGCATTGTTTGCTCCCTAAGCTCAAAATTTTGCTTAATAAAATAATATTATTTAATATTACTTTCTTGTTTGGCAAACAGATTCATTATTGTATTAGACACAATACAATGTATGTGATTATGATTTATTGTAATTTATTATAATAGTGTAGAGATCGTTGACTGTGATGATAATATGAGGAGTTGGTTGAGGGGTACGGTCAAATGAATACTATATTTCAAAATACTATACAATACTATTATAGTATTTTCATTCATCCCCCTCCCCTCCCCCCCGACTAACACCTCATATAATTTATTATAATAATAATAATACATTATGATAAAATGTCTGGATTATGGGATTATCAGATATTGTAGTAAGCTCAAAGAATCTTTGTGTTTTAAAATAACTGTATTGTTTTATTGTTGGTAGCTGTAATTCTGTTAACATAGTAGCTATTTTTGTGTATCATGGGTAGTTATCAATGATTCTCAGGGATATGTTCTGAATCACTTCAAGTTTTCTATAGTTACACTTACAAGTATAATTCCATACTGGGGAAGAATATGTGATTATAGGCGGATAACTGCTTTATATGAGATCATTTTATTTTTTTAAGATAATTGGGAGTTTCTATTGAAATACGGAAACATTTTGCTAAAAATATTTTTTGCTTTACTGCATTTGTTGTTTATATGCTGGGTGAAATTTAGGGACTTATCAAGTTCAAAGCCTAAATATTTTACTGAATTGGACCATGAAAAATTTTTGTAATGAAATGAAAATTTTTATATGTTAATCTAAAGAAAGATTTAACAGACAAACCTTCATAGGGACGTTTTTCTTGTTTTCAGATCCTCAATCCTTACTTGTAGGTAGGATAGTTAACACTGAAACATCCTGTAAAATAATAAAAATGAAAAATATATCCAAAATTAATTACACATGAAATTTTACTATTTACAATTTATAACTCCAAAAATAATACATTAAAATATTATCTCATTAATTTCACCTTTTTATTAATATCTCAGTAAAAATAATAATAATGTCAATATAAATGTATACAACAATGCACAATATATAGTTCACATCAGAGTTGAACAAATTAAAATAGAGACTTTGATGGCAGAAATGAATTAATGCATAAAGACTTTCGTAATAACCCAGTATAATTGACTATTATTCTATAAATATGTACCTATGCAATTTATTTGTAATACTCATGCACTCTTAATTTAATTTCAGATATGATAACAGCTAGGCTGTTGCTATTCCTTACGGGGAAATGTGCTATAACGATATCATTTACAGTGCTGTATGTAAGTTCTTCAGAAATGTTTCCTACAACAATAAGAAATTCATTAATGGGCTTTTGCTCAACACTTGGAAGGGTTGGATCAATGATCGCTCCACAAATGCCTTTATTGGTAATGTTTAAATTCAAATTATAGATTTAATTTATTAGTAATAATTTTTTTAACCTTAAGGGATTGATATTTATTAACTTAAAATATGTTAATTTATTGAATAATTAAAATTAATTTAATTTGAATAAACATTAACTTAGCCATGCAAACAGGTTTTATCAGGTTATCATATAAGTTATATTGATGAAAGAACAAAAAAATAAGAAACTCTATTTTATTTTGTGCTGATGTTTCAGCCTAATAGTCCTTAAATGCCCCATTTCTGAGAATTTTTGTTGATAAAAAATGTGTTGATTATGACAATATAAAGCTACAAACAAAGCTCTAGGCGGATGTGAATAATTTTATAAAAAGGAATCTGTACCATGGACCACTAGGAAATGGATCTCCTACTCAAAATGGAAAAAAAATTCTTGGAGGGGGGGAGGAGAGGGGAGGGCTTCAGCCCAAAAGGTTTAAAAAAAAAATATTATGATAATTACTTTGGAAGAAAAAAGAAAGAAACTATTAATACGAAATGGTGATGAAGTGATTTTTGAAGTCTTATTATATGTAATTACATGAACAATAACACTTTTAGAGAAAAATTTTTAGTATTTTTTTCGTAAGACATTGTTATATTTTACCATTTTGGGGAAAGGTTTAAGCTTGAAAGCCCCCCTGTGCCACGGGCTATAAGCTTCAGGATTTCATCAGAGCTAGTTAAAAACAAGTTAACATAAATAATATATAATAAATGCATAAATAATGAAACATAAAAATTATCATATACTATAATATATATCAAATATTATGACATGTAGGATATACTGAAATATAATAACCTATTATACGAAAAGATAACAGTATGAATAAAAATTACATCCATAAAGTATAGTGATAAATAATAAAAGTATATATAAAGTATACAGTTAAAATAATAACAAATGAAATGTCTGATATGTGATGTATACATAAATATAAGAAAATTATGAAATAAAATATTAAGTTATGTGTGTCAAAGAAAAAGTAAAAAATTGAAAATAATAACATGAGATGATAACCATAATTTAATTTCATAGTATAAAAAACAAAAAAAAAAAGGGCATCACACAACTTTCACTTACCACCCTCTTCTTAGCAGAAATAAGTATTTTCAGACAAAATGGGAGTGAAAGTAAAAATTAAAGAAGCTATATGTATTTACATTTCATTGCTGGTATTTTTATTTGTTTAAATTCCCATATATAGACAAATTTGAATTTTTATATCGATGTATTCTATACAATTAAATATTAAATAATACCAACCATAGCATTTATGAAAACTGCATATGTATATGTACATAATATTGTCGAAGTCGGTATTATATTAAGCTCATGTTCCATATGAATTGTTTCGGTGAGCTCAGACGTGCTTGCTCGTATTCCTTTGGTTATTCCATTACAACTATTATCCGTTACGATCTCTTATATCTTCTTTACTTAATTATCAAATTATTTCATATTTTACATTTAACTATTTTTTGTATCAAAGATTAATGTGAAATGGTTAATTGTTTCAAATTGAAGGTACTTTAGAGAAAGCTAATATTGAAAATTATCCATTTAAGCCATGTTAGAGAACATTTGAATAAAACCTACATTATATTAAAAATTGCTTAATAATACACTGATATACTGGGTTTAATAAAAATCGTTAGATCCGTTTTTGAGAAAATCGTAAAAATGTGTTTAATCGATTATATGAAATACCATTTTTGGTTTGCCGATTTTGTTGAAAATGTTGCTGTAACATCTAAGGATTATAAAAACCACAAATACACAATTTCAGTTTCCTATGGATTTTCGTTTTTGAGCTGGTCTATTCACATAAATATGCACAGACCATTTTGTGTGGATTATATTATTTGGATTCAGAAGACCTCAAAACGTGTATCTTCATTGGAAACTCAGATTCAAAAATTTTATGTTCCCAATACTGCCCCTTGCTATATATTACATATTTAGGTAAGTGAAAGTAAAAATTAATATGGATAGGGAACAGAATAGAAGTGTGAAGTGAGAAAGTCACAATAACACGAATACTAAAAACAATAAAAAAATATAAATATTGCTTTTACTTACTTCTGATGACCTGAAGGCCTTATACTAAGGCCAAAACATTGGATTAAAATAAAATAATGGTTGTTATTTAAGTATTTTTTCATCAATTACTGCATCCCTAAATAACTTTTCTCATTCCGAATCGTTGAAATATAAATATAATAAGACATATATAATCATTTTCAGGCAGCCTATGTGGACCCAGTTTTGATTTTCGGTGCAGCTTCTTTTGTAGCAGCATCTCTTGCACTTTACTTTCCAGAAACTTTAAACTGTAAAATGCCGGATACAATCGAAGAAGCTGAAATGCTTGGAAGAGGTAATATTTTTCTTCATTTTTGTTTACATACCAGGTCATACTAACTTCTATATACTCAAATGAATAAGTTCTGTATTCCAAAATATAAAGATATGTAGCATTTAATATGGATGAGTTTAAGTATCTGAAATCAATTTTAAATTTTGGAAACATAATTTTTGAAGAAATTTGTCAGCGATTCGTTAATGCCAACAGGTACTATTTTGGCCTGAACAGACATCTTATCCCACTCTACCGAATTTCAATTGTATAGAACCCTCATCAGGCCTTTCCTAACTTACGGCTTGGAGCCCTGGGCTCTCACAAGTTCAGAGGAGATGGCCCTTTTTATTTTTGAAAGGAAAGTCCTTCATCACATATTTGGAGCTGTGAGGGAAAGTAACAATTGGAAAAAGAGATCAAATACAGAAATTTATGGGCTTGACAGAAGGGCAGATTTAATGATGTATGTAAGATTGGGGAGATTACATTATGCTGACCAAGTTGCACGAATACCAATAGAAGATATCCCAAGGAAGTCCCTGGATGGGACCAGAAGAAGAGGCGGATCTCGATTAAGATGGGAGGACGGAGTAGCAAGGGATGCCCGTGAGTTGCTGGACTTCCGAAACTGGTGAGAGACTGCTCAGGATAGATTGACCTGACGAAGACTCTTTGAGGAGGCCAAGGACCGCACTGTTTTGTAGCGGCAGTAGTAGTATGCAGCATGAAGTAGTTGAAAGCAGCATTTAAACGTAACTTACATGGTTAACAGATTATTCTGATTTAATTTTGATTTCATCATTATAATAGTAACCTCACAGTAAAAACAAAATAATACTAGTAGAAAAAGTCAGATATTTATAACATTATTGTTAAAATAAAGTTACTTGTTGTCTTAGGACTTCATAAAGTACTAAAAGCTGAATGTGAAAAAATACAAATGGTAGGGTGAAGGCACCCTACAGTAGTAAACACATGAAACTTTAACTTAAAAAAATAAGAGTTGAAACCGTCAGAATGATTAGAATTTGGTGTCATTTTAAACTTTAGATTATACTGTGTAGCCACTAGAATGCGGTAGCAAACCAAGTGAGCAGTGGAAAGGTTAGAGCAGCTGATATCTTTATGGTGTCATCCAAGGTCCTGCTGTGACCAAAACAGCTAAGGGGTGGAGTTTGATTTTCATCAATTATTCTTTTATTGTTCCAAGATTTTTCGCAATTTTTTTCTCTAAATGATAGTGTAGACAATGAACTCACTAGGTAATGTGATTTTGTTTGATTGAGCACAAAAACAAACTGTCAAACTGGGATACTGATAATACCTCTTGTTCCAGTAGTAGGCAGAAGTGTCTACAACTAGAAAACTCAACTTTTTTGTAGTAATGATTGAATATCATTCATAGTTCTATTCTAAGCATGGGAGTGTTCAATTTTTCCCCAGGAAATGTCTTGTTCCTTTTTACCTACAAATATAATTTAATTTAAAAAATAAATTATTTGTTTTTTGCATTTTTTAAGTTTGTATTTTTTTTTTAAATCACAGTTCCTTGGTAAAAACTGCCAATATAGGTGCATAGTTGATTAGAAATAAATTAAAGATATTAATTAAATAGTATCAACTACTGATTTTTTCTTGTCTACTACTGATACACTGTTGTCTAATATCGGTGAAAAAACATGCTCTTGAAAATTATCTAAAAAAATACCTAAATATCAATGTTTAAGTTACCTTAGAAGAAATTTAGGTCACATAAGAGTGTTGTAGGACAAATATAGCCAAAATAGGAACCTTGAAAAGAATCTAACATGTTATATTTAAAATTATTGAAAGAGACTCACAGTAGTGTCTACTACTAGTGACTTTACCCTAATTATTTTTTTATACATTTATTAATTAATGTTATACACGATCATCACCATCAAAAGCAATAATATTATACACAATAGCACTATTGGCATTTCTCAATGCAATCTCCTGAGTGGTCTAAATACTTTGCCACCAATTTTAAAGATATCAGTACAGCCACGACCAAGCAGAAGGTATATTTTTCAAAGGAGGCACACAATGTTTAATCGTAAATTTTTTAACCAATGAAGGCATTAAACCCTCAGAAATATTTATTCATTTGAAGGCAAATTTTGGTGTGCTTATGTCTGGAGCCTCAAAATTAAAGGGTGTATGAGAAACATTTGAAAATGAAAGTCAAGATCGATGCCCAAGGACAAGTTTACAAATGACAAAATTTGTTCTGTTTGATGTCTTATTCATTGCGATTGATGACAGGAATGTTAATCACACCTAAAAAAAAAAGAAAGAAAAAAAAAAGAGAACATCTATTAGAAATGCTGCCATTTCTATGGCAATGGAAGAACTCACAACTTAATATTGACAGAACATAAAAACAGACTTAATCCCAAGTGACCATTTTTTGTTCATGTCCATGCGCCATTGACGGATAATTCGCTCTTTAATCAATGTGTAATTAAATAATTACTGTTTAATTACTGTTTATATATGTTTCACTCTCATAGGTAACAATCTCACTGATAATCAAAGAGAAGTCATTAGAAATAAGAAAAAGTAAATAAATAATATATACTCCTTTCTAATGATTTTGATACCACTAAAATTTATTTAATTTCAGAAAAAACTAAGGAATCTAGATGAAGAAAATCACTGTCTTATGATAGGCCAATGAAGATATTAAAGAAGAGCTTAAAGAGGAAGTTGAAATTGGTAAATTAATTTTACTAATTTGTTTAAACATTCTCTTCTACTTATTATTTCTATTTTTATTTGTAGGATAAATGAATTCGGGCTGAAGCCCCCTCCAAAATGGTAGAATATAACCATATTTTACAGAAAAAATTATAAAACACTATCTCTTAAAGTATTCTTGTTCATGCAATTACATTTAGTAGGACTTCAAGAACCACTTAAACACTTTTAAATTTCATATAAGTAGTTAATTTCTTTCTTTTTTTTCAAATTAATTATCGTTATATGTATAAAAAAAAAATCTTTCGGGCTGAAGCCTCTCTAAAATTAAATCCTGGATCTGTTAGCGGTCCCGTGTGTGCCGTTGAAACGCCTCTAAATCTTTACAGCCATAGCTTATGATAAAAAAAAAACTTGTTCTATAAATGAAACTTCAGTTGTTAAATGAGCTGAGCTTATTAAGAGAAACAAATAATGAAATTAATGTTGTAGTAACCTTTTGTTTTTGTGATTTATTAAATTTCATATATTTTTTTAAAATTTGATCGTGTAATCAAAGAATCTTTCGCGGTCCGGATTGGAAGTTCTTGGATCTGGTCCATGGGCCTTAGTTTGGAGACCCTTGTTCTAAATCAAGGTCAAAATTAGGGGGAGTAAAGAAGAGAGTAAAGGGGGCACTTGTTTTTGATGAATTTAGGAGGCAGTAAATTTGAACATGATGAAAATAATGACATTTATTTTGAAATATATTGTCTAAAATACAGTTATAATTTTTGACCTTTTTTTTTTTGAAGAGGTGAAAAGAAAGGATGGCAAAATTATTTAAATTTCTTTATTAAATAGCTCTCCGCTCTGCTTATTCAGGCAAATATCCTATTTCAGACATTAACTATCAGGTTGTGATGGAGATTCAAATTAAATATGAAAATATTTATTCTCATATACACAGAATAATACAAAAAAAAAGTTAAAAAAACTAAAGGACCAATTTTCTTTATAATTTTTAGTACTGTTCTTTTTAAATTAGTTTTAATACAAAATTGTTATTTAAAATGTACATAGAAGTTAAAATTATTTTGAATGGAAGACAGTATTTTTTAATGTTATTAATTTTTGTCAATACTTTATTGAATTTAATCAGCATAGGGCATTGTTATGTTTTTGTCTATTCATTAACTGTATTAGGTAATTGTGATTTTTTTTTATGTGATAATGAGATTGTTTTTTAGAAGAAAAATTTGTGAATTCATATTGAACTATTATATTTTTATATAATAGGATTAAAATAAATCTCTTTAAAAAATGTCTAACCTAACTGTATACAATTATATAGATGAAAAATGTTTTTTTACTATGTTAATGTTATTTTATAATTAATTGTCACTTTTTTTCGTTTGTATGACAATAAATTGTACAAACATTAAAAATATTTGTTTATTATTATATAATTACAATTAAATATTTTATTTTGTGTTAAGATTTAATTATTACATAGTAAGATAATACAAGACTGTACAAAGGAACTTATATAAAGTTCTTGAATGTTGTTATTAGTGTGTTGTAGTAATTAGATAAGTTGTATTTAATTTATTATAAATAAGGTCATATATATATGTATTTTCTAAAGTATTAAAAGCTTTTTATTCAATGTTTGATACAATTAGACTCTTTTAAAATGTCTCCTTACTATTTTGTCATTTATTCCCAAAGAATTTTTTTTTAATGTAAAGCATAGTAAGTAACAAGCAAAATAGAAACTTTAATAATAATGTTTTGACTTACCATATCTTAAAAACACTTCTTAAAAATAAAATAATTTCTAAACAGTTTCTTCCAATAACCAATGGAATCCCAGTGTTGCCAAAAAACTTCAATTCATAAAAGAAAAACATGTAATTTATTTTATGACTAGAATATCTTAAGTTTATGCAAAAAAACATTAGATATCAGATTAGCTTTTTATGAAATTTAATGCATCTTGATGAGTACTAAAACAAGCATGATTTTCTAAGGTCCTAACTAATTAATATACAAATTTATATTTTGTTTTTTCAAAAACATGAGCCAATAATTTTGTAAAATAAGGCATTCTAAATCTGTTAACAAATTTGTATATTGCATATTTGTCTTAATGTTTATTATTATTTTGGTTTTGTTTTCACAAAATCTAGTTATTTTTTAATTAAATTAGATATTACTTTTTATTTCAATTAATGTTAGACATGATGTTAATCATGTATTTTTAGCCTTTATCAATAATGCTTCAAATGTTAAAATAATCTTATTAATGTTTTGAATAGAAATCCATTTAAATCTTTATTTTTTATACAATCGGCCTTATATACAATAGAGTGAGTCAAAAACTAAAAACAAAACTGTTTTATATTTCTGTCATGTTCTCTTTAAAGAAAAAAAAAAACAACTGAAATATGTTATTATATTAGTTCTCGACTCATATATGAATTAACTGAATCCTTCTGGACTCATGTATTAGTCCACCATCGTTAAATGGTTAAATTTAAATGATTTGGTTACTTTGCTTAAGACGAGAGAAAAACATATTTTTGCTGCAGAGAGTAAAATAATTAAATTTCCAACAGGCATTCAAAAAATAATTAACTAATTTCTTGAGATTCTTTACGCCATTTTAGTTTTTACAAAATGTACATTTAACATCTGTAGATGTAGACAGGGTCCATTTCTTATATTAACTGACTAAATGTTTCAGTTTTTATAGTACACTATTTTGAAATGCATATTTGTGTAAATTATAAATAATTATACCTGTTTTGGAAAGATTTAGCATATATTGATACTAGAAGTTAAAGTAATACAAAAATATAAATATGAACAAGGTAAATAGAAAAAATATTAATTTATTATGAAATAATTTTTTTTTAATTATATAAAGTAAACCTGTAATAGTTCACCATGTTCGTTTCTTTTTTTATATTGGCTATGTTTCGGTTATGATGCCTTTTTTGAAGCCATCTGTAAGACCCAATTTAAAATTAGTTTCATAGAAGATTACATTTAACATGATGTGATAGTGATATTAGTCATCTCTCAAAAACCAACATAGTATAAAATATAACCTTAATTAGGTTGAGTCAACATGTTAATTGGCAAATCGATTTAATTTAAATAAAAGATGGAATAAGAATATTCTCTAAATTAAATTGCATATATATTAACTCAACCTAATTAAGGTTATAATTTATACAATATTTTTAAGATGACTAATGTCATACCATATCATGTTAAATGTATTTTAATATGTAACTAATTGTGAATTGGATCTTACAGATGGCTTGAAAATGGAATCATAGCTTAAACGTAGCTAATGTAAAAAAATTAAAATAAACATGATGAAATAATACAGCCTAACTTCATATTATTAAACATAATTTCACCCTAAAACAAAAACCATATATAAAAAAAAACTTTTTTTTTTGTCTTTTTATGCTTTATATTTCATCTTTATTACGTCATGTCTCTATTTGGTTGCATACTATCGTAATTTTTATTGCTTGTTTTTATTCCTTTTAAGGTGTATTTCAATGTTCTTGTGGCATGTAAATCCAGGCCTGAAGTATTATTTTTGATTCTCAGACAACCAAAATCTCAATATAATCATATATTCTAGTTTACAATTATCCCTTTTTTCCTTCAATATACTTCCTTAACTACGTATTGAGTTCTTTTTCTGCCTAAATTTCCATTCTATTCACATCTGTTATTCATGTTAATGCATCTGCTTCTTTTATTTCCTTTTGAACAAACTTTTGAGATCTGCCTATTCAAATATATATTTTAAACATCATAATGACATATATCAATACCGATCCCCTTTCTGAATTCAACGGTAATTCCTAAGATAAATTGAATGAGTTATCAGAAGCCAATATCATTTAATTTTCGGCAAAGAGTGAGTGTCTGTGGCTCAAGTGCCCCCTTTCAATCTCCACTGCTTCCAATAGCAGTGACGTAGCTATCAGAGAAGCATTTAGATCTCATGGAGTCCTGCTTTGCCTTCCACATGTGGAGGTCAAAGCTTGGCTCGGAGTTTCCTGGGTGAGTGTAAATAATTTAATTAGGTTTGAATGTGTTAAAGGAATTTACTTTATTTTTACTTATTTATTGATTTCTAATTTCACTTTATATTATTTACATTTTTTTATTTTATTCCTATTTATTTCCCTATTATATGTAGATAATATATCAATGAACTTAGTCCTTTTAGTCTTAATACTTTTTGCCTTTACATGGAGCCTATTATGTTATTATTCAGTAAAAAAAATATAATAAATAAAATATTCAACAAAGAAAATATACATTTTCATTTTCGATGAAAAAGGTTGCACTTTATTTGGAAACGGAGGCATTTGATTAGGGAGTTGAAAGGACTGTAAATAAACATTGCCTTTTGGAATATCATGTTTTACCTTCTTATTTTAAAATCACATTTTCAATTGTTGTAAAAATACCAAATTATCACTAGTATTAGTGCAAAAGGCCGTATGAAAAAATTGAGTGTTGTACAAAAGATCATTAAAAACTGATTATTTCTCTATGATTTATTAATATAATTTCATATTTCATTTTCTTTTGCTATTTTCCTTAGGAGTTACTAATACTACTTATAGCAGTTGCAGAGTACAAAATGTCATGCTTAGCACAAATAGAATAAAATAGAAAATTTTCGTATACCACCTTTGGAATTAACAATAGTATTATAATACTATAATAAATCTATAATTTTTTTTTTTGCTTGAATATTGAATCTTTGATCGGTTGTAATAATTATAATTAAAATGATGAGCTTAGATAAAGAGGTAGAGTAGCTCAAGCTAGGAAAATATGAAGAAACCATCTTAACATTTAGAAGGAAAATATTTGCAACGTTATATTTCATAATTTTATTAAAAATAAGTATAAGGTTAAAAAAATAAATTACACAGAGTATTTTTTCAATAGAGTATGTTACAAAAGAAATTTTAAAAAATCCTTTTTAAATTTCTAATACTGTACAGTAATTGATATTTCTGGCACAACGTTTCAGAGGAACAATTATAATTAATAGATCTAGTCGATCATTACCCACTACACTCAACATTATACCACCAGTCACAAACGAGAACTTCCTGGTTGAAAAGAGTACCATTTGGACACATCATAGGTTCTCCAGCACCACTTCCAAGACAAATATAGAAAACCTTAAAAATAGTAAAAATTAAATATTTTATTTATTTATACATACTACATTATCGTTATTATAAACTAATGGATATCTCTATGTGTATGGGCACAAGAGACTATTAGTGGTGGGCAGTACAGGAGATTACTAAATATTCTTTAAGTGTAAGGGGTATTGCAATTTTAACGACCAGTTAATGGCTGCCATTAAAATCAAACCTATAAGTTTTTAATGACTGCCAAAACGCAAGTACAGTAACAAGGTCAATATGCGACCTTTTGAAATAATAAATTACACATATTGATTTGAATGTTAATTAAATATCAATTCAGAATTATTCTATACTCAACATAAATGATATAGGTTACCTAATTACATTATAATGTATATATTCAGGTAAAAATTGCTATCGATGATATAGCTCTTGATATATATATATATATATATATATATATATATATATATATATATATATATATATATATATATCAAGGGGATGAAAAAATAATATTAAAATAAAAGGAAGGAAAAGGTGATAATTACAGTCTATTAGGTATGGAAGACAGATTCTGGACCATATCTTTGTGCTTCCAAACATTTATGAAAAGGTATCGGACAGAAATAAGAGTATTTATATGGTTTTCCTAGATCTCAAAGCTGCGTTCGATTCTGTGCCTAGACATGAAATAAGGAATGCTCTTACTGCAAAGAATATATCATCAGATTTGCTACATGCGATTAAATCCACATAAAGAAATGCAAAGGGAGTTGTAAGAATAAATGGTAGAGAATCCGAATCATTCCTTCTTGATAGAGGGGTCAGACAAGGGGACAGCCTTAGCCCTCTCCTATTGGTGGTTCTGATGGATGAGGTCTATAAAATCTGCAAGCGCAGAACCGCATGGACTGAAATAGGAAAATGGAAGATGCAGACAATTTTTGTAAAATGACTTCTATATATGTCGATGATATTGTCCTAATAGCCAACCGAAGAGAAAAATTACTACAAGTTCTGGTGGAATGGGAAGCAGAACTACTACGTAAGGGAATGTCCATCAACGACTCCAAAAGCAAGGTCCTAATTTTCTCATGGAATGAAGAAGAAAATATTGAAATGCTATGCACTGAGAAGATCCTAGAAGTAGTGAATGAATTTAACTACTTGGGAACCATTATAGATAGGTCTGGCAGAATTGACCAAGAAATAGAATCACCAGAGCCAACCAGGTGAACTATCAGATTAACAATTGCATAATAGGACACAGTGAGGTAGGGCGAAATATTAAATTACACATATATAAAGCAATATACCTTCCCATCCTTACATATGGTGGCGACAGCTGGGTGATGCTTGACAAGCATATCAGCTGAATCACCGTTGCTGAGATGAATTTCTTATGTAGAGCAGAGGGTAAGACAAGGAGAGACTGGAACAATAGCATTAGAGAGCACCTAGATGGAACCTCCATTGAAGACAATCATGGTAAACAGACAATTAAAATGGTTTGGAGATGTTTGTCGAATGGATGAAGTAAGGAGGACACTGGGATCTACAGGTAGAAGACCACGTGACTGACCCAGAATCAATATAACCCAAGAAATAATATTTCTTTCAGTTGAAATAGATTTTTGGAGGAGAGCAACTAGAATATCGAAGATTGAAAGGGTAGGAAACACCACTATAAGGGAGAGAGAAAAAAAAATATCCTAGAGGTCATGGAAGAAAGGAGACTAGGATAGAACACCAAAGATAATTATGGATTGAGAGGCAGAGAGTAGAAGAAGGAGAGAAAAACCCCCCAGTTAGATGGAAGGATAGAGAGATGGAGAGGGTAGAGGATTGTAGGAGGATACGATGAACTGGCGGAAATAGTGAGACTTGCTGAAGTAGGAGTTTGGTTGAAGAAAACTTCATATTGAAGAAACTCCTAAGAAACAATATTATAATTTCATTTTCAACTGTAGTAGTCGAATAATAAATCTCCATTATTCAGAAATTCAGATAGGTTTCATAATGGAATGTTTAATATTTCCCTGGCGTCATTGACAATATATTTATATACAATACGATAAGATGATAAGATACAATACAAATTACAGAAGACTGGAGATAAAGAAGTTGATTACTTTATTTTTCACTAAAAACATTTACAATTGCATCATAGCCAGATTAAAAGCTTCATTATACCCTTGATCAACGTCCTCCACATGTCAGGATGTAGAAAAGATTCTCAAATAATATTACATACAAGACATAAAAAAACAAGCTATAGACAGTTACTAGAGCATTTGTAGAGGAACCCAATAATGTCCTTGTATGAAGGCCTAGTGTCCAGCCACTAATGGCCTTTACCATATATATGGTAAAGAAAATTGTACATATATATGAGAAACTAAAATAACCTAAATAAATTGAGGTAGTCTCTAGGGGTGCTTAGATATTTCTCTTAAGTATATTTCGCAATCAGTCGGATTGAGAAAGGAGTAGGTGTTTAAAGAGGATAGGTTTGAAAGAGGAAACTGATTGTGCGTAATATCAGCAGGGATGGAATTCTAGAGGTAGGCGGCTTGTATTGCAAAGGATTTGTTAAACGCAGCAGTTCAGTGAGGAGGAGGATAGAGGTTGGAAGTACGAGATCTAGTGGGACGGGATTGGATGAAGTATTTGAAATGTAAGCTGTGAAAAATATAGGAGGGTCGATGAGTTCTAATCATTTGGTACAGAAAGGTGTCTAGGAAGTACTGACGGCGATAGGATAGGTAGGGCCACCTCAACTCCTCAACTCAGTGTAATACTCGGTAATATGTGTATCCATTGAGATTCCGAATACAAATAGTAGTGTGCAATTCATTAGGCGTTTAAGTTTGGCCTCGGAATCTCCCGAGAGTCCACCATACACCATACAGCCATAGTCGAAGTGGGAGGAAACTAGGAGTTGACGGGACTTATATGGAAGGAGATATCGTAGACAATTGAACTGTCTTAGGGTGGAGATAGTGCGACAGGAAATTTGGGAGATGTCTGGTTTCCAGGATAGGGTTTGATCAAAAGTAACACCTAGGTTTTTAACGGTGGTGTGGAATAAGATAGGTGAGTTATTTTACAGCTGAGAAAAGCAATATTATATGCACACAGAGATATATTTATAATTAAGGTTATTCACTTCCTATATTATTGTAATAACTATTCAAATATAATATCTTTAAATCTGTACCTGACAACCTGATGATATATCAGCAACATAACCTTGGTTTGAACCGCACAATTGAAAATTCCTCTGAGGCTTTTTTAATGCTTTATACATATTCTTGGACACATCCTTAACTTCTTCTAAATAATTAAATAAGTCAATAAAACTTTAAAAAGAATTCATCTTAAGATAAGAAGAAAGATAACTTACCAATATTTACAATTTGATTGTAGGTATGCAATCTAATATCACCGCTCTCGGCTGTTTCTAAGAGACTTTGAGAGTCATCATACTGTTGCTGGTTCTTAGATTTTGGTTCGTTGGTTGTGGCTAATTCCTTAACCATTTCCAATCCTTTCTTGGATGTTAAAATTTTCATTCCTAGTGAAGCTACTTCCGGAGCAAGCAAAGTATTATTAAAATTACCGTATGAGTTTCCCTCTTCGATTTCTTTTGTTTTGTTTAAATCATCAGAAATAGATTGATCTGAAGTTTTTATTTTAGGAATATGACTGTCATATGGAGGAGTTGGGTTTGGTTCTTTGTTCACTGCTTCTTCTACCGACAAGGTAGTAGAAGAACTTTCTGTTGCAATCTGTCGATTGTTAGAGAATGAACTACTGGTTTCAAAGTAATCAGTAGATCGACTAGGTAATTGTAAGTCGTTAGGGTTTTCTAAAATCTGTGTGTCTATAACATTATTTTCGAACTCTAGAAAAGGAGGAAGCAAGAATAGATTAGGTGGAGGAGGTAAATTTGTTGTTTTAACCTGCGTAGGTCGTACCCTTCTCACTTCAGCATCTGAATGTTCAAAATTAGCTGGTGTTGGCTCATTTTCAAGATTAGAACTAATAGGACCTGAAGGAGGGACAATGATGGGAGTTTTAAAATGTTCAGTGGTCGTCGTTATTTTAGAATTTTGTACACTTGTCGAATTACTTTCTAATTCAGGAGTTGAAATAGTATTTAGAAATGGTTTATTTGAATGATTACTTTCTTGATCGGATAGAACAGGGAAAAATTCTAACTTTTTCACTGAAGATGAAGTTCTTGAATTAGCTAAAACATTTATAATGAATGGATTTAAAGTACTAACATTTCTGTCTTGAAAATCATTTTCATAAGGAGGTAACAAGATACTAGCAGGTTTTAAAGATAAAACTCTGGTACTGTGCCTATGAATTTTCCTTTGAAAATGCTTTCTTCGATTCTTTTTGTGAATACGAGAAGTCGCCTTTCTACGCTGACTTTTCACAGTTGTATCATTCGATTTATTACTGATGTAAAGTTGTGAACGATTATCAGTATTTTGTAAACAGACAGAAATAACTCCATTGCATTTTTGTCTTTCTTGATATGATTTCTGAACATCAAGAAGTACTAGAAAATCTGAAAAATACAATAAATGAGTGAAAAATAAATTATTAAAAAAAAAATCCTACAGCATGATAAACATAAAATTAATCTATACATAGTTATTTATAGAGCAATTTATCAATACGCAACTAACAATCAAGATATCAAAAATAGGTGAAATGAAGCAAAAGATATTTTTTAAATCTATGGCTCATAATATTGGGAAAAGGCTGACCAAATTGAATTGGATGCAGTTTTGTTGACCATGGTGTACTTCAAGATTATTAATATTTTTATTTTTGTTTTCATAGACTAGACAACTATTTATTCATTCTGTTAGCTACTCAGTTATTCTTCATTATATCATGCAAATGATTCTTATTTTTAAAATCACTAGGAATATTTGTTCTATAACAAGTTCTTTCACTGAAAGAGCTTTTCTCAATGTAATGGTGAGTTTGCTAAAATTAGGAGGATAAAAATTCCTGATTTACAAATAATTGAGAAGAAATAATGGATAGGAAATAATATTTTTAGTTTATTAAACAATTTTGAAGACTGTATTTCAAACTAAATTCTTTATTTCAAGAATTATTTAACACCATCATTTTGTTGTTTTAAGTCTAAACTACCCAAGAAATACCATAGAAAAAAATATCACCATTTCAATATATTTAAATGATTTTATGATAGTAGATTGATGGTTGTCTGCCGTTAATATATTTAAGAGAAGTTTGTTGGGCTCTTCAGTGAAAAAAAAGAACAATATAAAAATAAATAAATTATATTTATTTTTGTTTCCTTATTGTCGATGTTTCGGTCTAAGTTTCAAGCCTTCGTCAGGGCTAAGAAAATACAAGAAAACATAAATATGAAAAACTAGTGGATGGTAATAGCAATAATATTTAGTGCAAAGGTATAGTCTAATAACATGGAGGTAGTGTAAACTTGACATTAATAAATATGTGGTCTAGCAAGTATGAACAAAACAAGTATAAAGTAATGGTAACAACGCTGGAATAATAAAATAGTGGTAGCAAAATTATGATATATAAGATAACCAAAAAAAAAAAAAATAGAGAATTATGATATAATGAAAGAAACTTAGGAAATAATAAAATAGAGGTAATATTGTGAGAGTGAGTGAAGTAGACAATAATAAAATAATGGTAACAATATAATAAAATTAACAAAGCAATGAAAAATAAAATAACGGTTTGATATATAAAATTAAATTTAATGAAGGGTTAATAAATAAAATAATGGTAACAAAGTAAGGAATTTATGAAGTAAACAATAACGGAAACAGAGTTAGAAATTTATGAAATAAACAATAATAAAATAGTGGAAACAATTTAATGAAATTAACAATGAAATGAGAGGAAATATTAAGAGTTACAAACCGTAAGGGGTAAACATAAAATAAATATGGTGACGTAGTTGCTATAAGTTGATTTCTTAAATATTAAGAGAAAGTGAGATAAACATAGAATAAAAATGAAACACAAGAAAAAGGGATATGAAGTTATATAAAGAAAATAATAAAAGTAAATAGAAAAATTAAGATGTAATGAAATCTATCATAACATCTTGTACACATAGAAGAAAATTATTTTTACTTCATTCTTTCTCTGAATAAACACACCAATTGACTTCTCTTCAATAAAATGATTTTAATTTTCTGAATCCATAAAAGGTGAAAAGAAAAGTCTTCCTAAAATATTTTAAAGTATCCCTCCTTTATCAAATATATGAAGCTTTTGAAACACTGTTTAGTGAAAGTTAAATATTTTGGGATATGACATTCTGTGGCAGAGATGTGAAAAACTATAATCCATTTTGTAATGAAGTCTCGCATAAATCAAAACTGTTCTTGAATGAATCTTGTAATTTCCTTTATTTTGGTACATTGTTGAGCTCGTCATTTCTCATTGCCTCAATGTATATTAACAAATATAAAAATAAAATGTCATAACTTATTTTTTTGCATACATTTCATTGTAGTACACAGATGAAATCACCATTTTTCATTGTTTTCTGACTACTATTTTACCAAATATAAAAATTAAACACTTCATAACTTTTTTCTAATAATAAAAATGTATACCTTACAACAAACAAATAGTTTGTATTATTTATTAACACAAAATCCAAACATTTGGCAGAATTAAAATTGATTAAACACAAATTTGAAATCAATTGAAACAAAAAAAAAAGTAGTTATTTGGCAATAATTACTTCCAATTAGCAACAATTGAATATATTTCTTGTATTTTCAACGTTACATGTTAACAAGTTTACGTTTCGGGATATTTACTCCCATCTTCAGAACAATCCCAATGATCTTGTGGATGCAAGGCTAAAAAATTGTTTGAGTTAAAATATAGTGCATGTTACATTACATGTTAGAATTTAGTTGTTACAATAAATTTGTAATTACCTTAAAAATAATAATAATGTGTTCCATCGTCAAATTTCTAGTTCATGTTATAAAATATATCATCTAGAGCAACATCTTGCTTTAGACCAATAATTGGGTGTCTGCCATAGTGAAATACAATTGACCTTTGGATCTGACTATTTTTATACTATTGTTGTTAATGTTTATTTAAAAAAAAACTATTATTAAAATTTGTTTCAAGAGATTATATAAATTACAATAATAATCAAAATTGAGATACTGACATCATCTGAAGGATTCATCCAAACAAATCAATAAAATATTTGCTGTAAGATTACATAGGAAATATTCCATCAATCCCTTATGGCATGGCATTAATGTGTCTTAAGAATATTAACAATAGTTAAATAGAATTTAACTCATTCTTCCTTCTTCATCAATGAGCACTATAGTCTTTGTAGGACCTGGGTCTGTTCTGCCACCACTTTTCTTCACTCCTCGCGGCCCACAGCTAGGTTCCTCCAATTTCTAATCGCCTACTTCCTCACATCTTCCAAATCATCAAGAAATCAGTGCCTGGTTCTTTTTCCTCCTGGTGTATCATTGAGGATCATTTTTGGCAGGCTACAAAGATCCATTCTTTCAATATGACTCAACCATCTGAATCTAATCTTCTTGATAATACTTTGGATATCAAGCTCACCGTAAAGTTCCATTAGTTTGGTGTTGCTTTTGATTCTTCACCTAAGCTGCTCAAAATATCTTCCTTAGGACCACTAGCGGATCCAAGATTTAATTTTGGGGGGAGGGGCTTCAGCCCGAAAGTTTTTTTTTCATAAAAATAACGATAATTGCTTTAGAAAAAAAGAAAGAAACTAACAACCTGTATGAAACAGTGTTTAAGTGATTCCTAAAGCCCTTTTAATATTAATCACACGAACAATAATACTTTAAGCGATACCTTTTTTATATTTTTTTTCGATAAAACGTGGTTATATTTTACCATTTTGGGGGGAGGGCTTCAGCCAGAAAGCCCCCCCCCCATGCTTAGGACTCTTCTCTCCCAGACCAGCAGTCTTGTTTTTCTTGGTCTAAGTTCATGTCTCACTGCCATACGAAAGGATCAGTCTAATCACCGTTTTATATATTGCAAGCTTTACTTTCCTGGAGACTTATGTGTCAGAGCACCTTTTGGAGGGCGCAAAAACATCTAGTTCTCGCAACCATCTTGCCTTTTATTTCAGCTACCTGAATAATTGCTTTCCATCACTACTATCTTTATGTACTTAAGTTTATCACAGTTATGAAATGTATCTTCTTCCATTCCAAGGTATCTCCTCTCTCCCTGGTACATTGAGATGTTATCATATTCCTTGCCTTATCTATATTTATCATGAGTCCAAATTCTTGAGCTGCCTGATTGAACTCTTCTACAGTGCTGCTTTAGTTCTACCTATTATAACAACATCACCATATGTTATGTGCTGGTACCACAAAGGTAAGTCTAAAGTTTCCGAATTGCCACTTCTTAGGCGATTAAATAGTACAGGCGATAATGAGTCCCTCTAACTTAAGCCACTGTTAACCTCAAAACTTTTTTTTTCTTTGGTCCTCCCCTTCAAGGCTATACAGAGTTTTCCAGGGCTAGAGGGTGTGAGTGGGGATTTTAAAAGTATCCCCCGACACAGGGACGGAACTCGTGACTATTTTTTATAACTTTGCCCCATATATCAGGTTGCAGAGCAATGGTGATGCTGTGCACATGTTAGCCCATTCGTCCCCTCCCTATCCCCCACATCCACTCCTATTAACCTCATAACTATCCGATATACCCACTATGGTTTTGATCTTGCAACTTGTCCTTCCTATGGTCATCATCGTCTATCTTATTGGCTTATTAGGTGTCCCCAGTGACTGCAAAGCCTGCAATAGCATACTCTTGTTTACACTATCATATGCCTGTCAGAAGTCAATGGATAGATGGTGTAGATCCATACTATATTCAAACATTAGTTGATAAACTAACTAAGATTATTAAAAATGGTTTTGGATTGGTTCAGTTTTCCTAGGCAAAGTGTGCTAGGAATAGGATGAGATATGTCTTTTAATAAATTATGACCTAGGCACGGATTTTTATTCAATAAAAACTCACAAACCATGCCATATAATATACAATAAAAAGCCATTAAATATGCAATAATAAATCATATGTTCTTATAAATTTTTTAAACTAAAAAAAATAGAGGAAGAATTAAAAATAAAATAAAATTATTATGTATTAAATTATTATTCGATTGGAAACTAAAATGGATAAAATAATATAGAAGATTTAAAACAATAATGCAGCATAAGACTGAATCTTTTAAAAATTCCTTCACATCAAAACTGGTTGAAAAATAATGCTAACTATACATCAGACTCTAATAAGTTCAAAACTAGACTATGGCTACATCATATATTCCTCAGCTAGCAAAAGCCTCTTAATGAAATTAGACTCTGAGGAGAAAATAGCTTTAAGACTAGCAATTGGAGTATTTAGAACAAGTCCAGCATATGACTTACTGAGTGAAACGGGTGAATTGCCAATGCATCACAGAAAAAAACTTCTTGTTCTTCAGTATGCAGCAAAAATACTTAGCATGTCAGAGTACACTAATTTTAAAATTCTATATAAGAATAATAACAACAATATTGAGCCTAATAGAAAAGAAACACTGAGAAGTCGAATAGAATAATACTTCAATGAATACCAAATTATCAGACCTACAGAAATTATATTTCTCTCAATAGATTCTCCTCCATGAGCAATTCCAGCAATTAAAAATGAAACAGGACAACACAATTTTCTGAGTAACACCCCTCAACGAAGCAATAAAATTTAGATATAATGAAATGAAAAACCTATATCCTAATTATGATAAAATTTTGAATAACAGATCAAAATCTCAAACAGGCCTAGGGTGTTGTATAGTGACACAAAATAGTATAATTAAATGGAAGCTAAACAACAAATCCATTTTTACAAGTGAAACCTGGGTTATACTAAAGGCGTTTGAACATGTAAAAAAATGAACAAGATTCCGAAATCAGCTATTATGACAGATTCCTTATCAGTTATAAAGAGACTGCAAAATGCGTGGAACAATAATTCTTTGCATCAGAAAACCCAAATCATGAATTTGAAGTTATATTAAGGGAGTCAGGAAATACTTTTATGGATTCCTTCAAATAGGCATAACAGGGAATGAACGAATAAAAGATACTGTCAGAGACCCTTATTCACCACCTTATGTTGGATCGATGTTCGTCAAAGAATGATGAAAGACAATGCAAACAACTACCATTTAGTCACCTCCGCTTGGGCAGAGGACAAACATGCTTAGTTACCTTGGAAAAATGTAACACCAAAAGAATGCTCTGTGATTAGTCGATTAAGTATTGAAAATACCAAATTGACACATCTATATCTGCTTTTAGACCTTAACCAACCAACTTGCCAAAGATGTAACAATGTAAACCTCACCCTTCAACACCTATTCCAATGTAATAAATATCGTAAAGAACAATTTAAACTAAAAATTGAAAATATTGTCCTATATAAAAAAACTAAAGGAATTAAAAAAAACACAACTAAATTAAACTAATGAACCTATGCCCACTAATGGCCACAGGAGTCAAAGTGATGTTAAAAAAACACAAACTTTTTTTTTATAAAGCAAAATAATTAAAACATAATGATATAAATAATAATGGGAAATTTTTTTTATTAATCTCTCTATTATATAAAGTTTTTAGTGACTGTTATTTTATTTTTCAATCTCAACAAATTAAAGTGCTGGAGTAAAGAAAGACTTGCAATTTATTTTGCATCCTGTTTACACTATATTGAAAAAAATAATACATTATGTATATACTGAATTACAGAATACCTGTAAAATAATTATACAATTAGAGCAACGAGTAGTACAATTAAATTTACGATTGTATAATTTGTAAAATAGACGTTGGTCCTACAAATGTATTCTAGAATTTCATCTTTAATAATCTATTTTAATTCATTTTTTAATTATTATTATTTTTTAATTTTCAATAATCAAAATATGCAATATATAATTTGACTAATTACATCTTGGTGTACTGATTCATATAGATATTCGCTCATCAATTCAAAAACTTTATGCAAATAAGATATACAATGCTATAAAATTCCGGGCCCTGATTACGACTTAATTTAAGTGACTTGAAAAATGATTTATTTTTATTTTAAAATGTAAAAAAGAGTTCTGAAGATACGGATCGTTGCCTTGAAATGATAACCAGAATGTATTAATAATAAAATATATGATGAAAGAATGGGTTATTTGAAATGGTAAGGGCTTTAGATAGAACTAACGTGGCTTCTTACCAAATTTCAATATGCATTAATGGAAAACAATTTCTTTTTGGCTTGATAAAAAATAACATATATTTCATGCACAGAATTATCCCAAGTTTGTATTAATAACTAAAATAATATTATCAAGGTTTCTTAAAATAAAAAAAAATTAATTTGCACTGAAAATATAAAAATTGTTACCCCGTTAAAAATGTTAAGAAATAATGTATGGGTTATTTTTTAGTTGGATGCGATATCATATATTGATCACCCCTAATCTGAATTTTTTTTTAGAAACTATTATGTTATAATAATTTAGATTTTAATCCAATTTAATATATAACGTTCAATATTGAATCCCACTTGTGCTTAAATAAGATATATGACCGAGAACGAAAAAATGTGTATGCTATTAACTATGTAGTATTTTATGAATATTGTGGATGTGCATGCGAGCGTATGTAGGTATGCATATAAGTGTATGTATGAGTGGGCATGTGCCTGTGACTCTGTGCATATATGAGTGTCCATTTATTTATTTTTTTTTTTCAAGAAAATTTAATTAATTGATTGTTTATTTTATTTTTTATTGAATTTTGCATATATTGAGCCTTTATATATATCTAAAATATTTCTGACGCAGCAGGTTATTGTATAAATATCTGCATAGTTTTTGACGAAAATCTTAATGCTTGTGAAACCTGGGGACACTAACCCAGGATTTATCTTTATATTTTTATTTCGTTTTGCTTTTATTTTTATTGTTTAGTCTTAGTTTTTTGTTTCTTTTATGGTGAAGGTAGCACCATGTTAAGGTAAATGGAATTGTGAATGAGAAAATTTTGTAAGTAAAAGAAAAGAAAAAAAAAAGCATGTATTTTCTGCCAAATAAAGAAATAAATTTATTAAAATAAAAAAAAATAATTTGCACTGAAAATAAGATGGTAATTGAAAGTTATGCCATTCATCACAACAGATTTTTTTTTTTCAAGTATTTTCATAGTAGATAGTAATATGAAAATATTTGTAAAAAAAAAAGAAATTAAAATTACTATGTTTAATAATACTACAAGAAGAGTAAATGTAATTACATATAACTAAGAAATATTAAATAATTATTCTCACATAGTAATATCTGTATAAAGCCGAACATAATAATCCAAAGACCACTACACTGAACGAAGCCTGGACACTAACTGTGCTCCTGGACATGAGAACTAGTAAGGAAGAAAATCTGATCAGAGATAGCATCAACAAGTAGGTGAAGGATAAACGGTCGGGATGGTCCTGGGAAAAAAATCTCCCGAGAACAATGTCATAAGTGACCATTACAAGTACGAGGCTTATCTCATGGTTTTGATTGGGCGCCTTAATTAAGTAAGGAAACTGCTAATGTCGGAATAAGTAAGATAATTTAAATTAAATCGTAGTTACCATTAAAGGAGCAAAAAAAAAAAAAAAGGAAAAAAAAAGGAGATGCATTTAGCACAGGGATGGTGTGCTCACGGCCTGTGAAGCGTGAAATATCCACATTGTTTCCACTGACCCATTACTTAATATCTCATTCACTAGCTCCAACTCCAAGAATCCTCTTCAATTGGTCAGTAAGAACAAACACTTTATCTACAATTCTTTGTTTATTTTACAAATATTTTTACAATGAAAAAATTCTTTATTGTTACAAATTAAAAAATTTATAATTGCAGTCTATATCAACATTTACACATATACCAAATGCTTATAACAAAATAACAAACCATTGGTATATATAAAATATAAAGTAAATAATACTGTAATATATTAACAAAAGAAAATTTTTTTTTTTTATAACAAATCGGTTTTTATGATTATACAAAAATAAATTATATTCGTTTAAACTATAAAATATTAAACTTGTTTGACGGCATGAAGAGCATAATTTATGGATGTGTTTTCCACCCAATACCACTCATTTAATAATGGTTGATACAATACTCCACAAGATAGCAATGTTTTACAGCCAGCTGGAACAAAAAAAAAAAAAAAAAAAATTAAAAGATTTAAAGTAACATTATTTTTCTTTATAATATTTAATCTATATATGATTATTTATATTTCAAAACCCTTTTTAATCTCACAGCATTTTTTTTTTACGTTTAAAACATTTAAAAATTAGTTTTTAACATTTGTAGAAATTATATGTAAGGAAAAAATACTTTTAGAAGAAAAATTCTAGAGGCAATAACTATAACAGATAATTTAGAAAATGCAGTCAAATTTAAATCTGATTAAAAAAACATTAGCCAAAATTATACAGAACTTTAAAAAAAAGTTAAATTGATAAAATGAAATCTAAAACCTGATAAGCAAAATAAATTGAAATTAAACACAATATACCTTAGTATTATTAGTGAGTCAGTCTAAACTAAAGCTCAATAAAGATAAAATGAAAATGATCAAAAAGGAAAGAAATTAAGAGGAAGGAGATGGTCCGGGGTGGAAGTTATAAGGAGACTAAAAATAGAGAAAAAACTATTTTATTTCTAGCCAACGCTTTGACCCGACTTTGCAGGTCTTCTTCAGGGAGATTAAATTTGAGTTTTAACTGAAACTCCTTGCTGTAAGCACTTCCCTAAAGAAGACCTGCTAGGTCAGGTTGAAGCGTTGGCTCACCCCGGACCATCTGCTTCATCTAAAATATACAACGGTCAACCATTAAGTATTCAATATGACCCAAAAGAAATTAAGGTATAAGTTTTTTATTTTACAAATTAAATACATTTTGCCCAAAAGAGATCTGTAAAATTAAACGGTGTTTTGAATTTATAAAAGTTTGTTTTAAATTATTTCATTATAAAGGAGTTGTTAAATTAAATTAGGATGGAGTTTTTGATAAAATAAGGAAAAGAAAAGAATTTTTGTGGAATTGGAAGAAAAAAAAAACAATTACTAACATTGAGTAGTATTCTATTTACATAAATATTTTAAGATTTTTTTTTTTTTAGAAGTAATATTTTCATGGGACTAAGTTTTGTTTTTCAAAAAAGAAAAAAAAAGCTTTGGAAATTTAAAAAATAAATTTTAAATGTTTGTAAAAATGTAAAATAAAAAGGCTGTGAGATTAAAAAGGATTTTGATATATAAATAATCGTATATAGATTATATATAATAATCATTAAAAAAAAATTAATAACCTAAATAAAGTTGTCTATCATAAATTATTTTTCTTCTTAATTTACATTATCATAAAATTTTTAATTCAATATTTAAATTAATTTATATCCATAACTAAAAGTAATTTAAAAAAAAAAACTATGTTTTGTTTATTACAATTTATAAACCAACTATTATTTTTTCTGGTTGTATTGATCAAAAATATCCGTATCAATTGATCAAAAAAAAAAAAAGAAGAAATAAAGAAAATTTTCTAATTTGTGTTATAAATGTAAAGCTGGGTTTACACATTTTCAAAACATTAGAAACCCAAAAATGGAGGACCTAGAAATCATATTAAAAAAAAAAAAAAAAAGCATCAATTGGTCAAAGAAGATGGTGGATAAAGATATTTCATTTATATCCATGAACCATTTAATTCATCAACATCATTCAGTCAGTAAGCAATTGTGTAAAAGCAACACCAGTACTAATACAAACAGAGGGATACAAACACTAATCTAACAACCCACTTACACAATCGTGTTTCCCATAGTTTGTGAAATGTGTGAACGTACCTTAAGAAGTATATTTGCTCAGAATTGCCTGAATAAGAGCATATTAGCTGTGATAAGAAAAAAAACAAGTTTGTTGAAAATACTTTTAAGTTTCAAGTAAGTTTTGTTTGGTGATAAATGTAACATTTCATAATTTATAGTAAATAAACAAGTTTTAATAACATGTTGTATTTATTTTGTTTTTCAAAAACATCCTTTATTCTATTTATTTGTTTTATAAATTAAATTGAAAATACTTCAAGAAATTATAACAGAAGAACGATTTAAAATTTGAGTTGATCATCATATGTCAGTACTTAATGACTGTACAAATTAAATTAAATTAAATCACTTTTACTTGAAAATATCATAGGAATTTATTATAAACTTTATGGCATCAAAAGCAAGCTGTAGCTATAATTAAATATATCAGGATAAAAATATACTTTATTTTAATATTTAAAAATAAATAAATTACTGTTTGTAGTATATTTATCCATAAAGTGAAGAATACAGGTAATTAATTATAACTTCTTGAGATTAAAAGAAACTTTTCCACTTAATTTAAAAATCTTTATTTTCATTACACTTTGGTTTCAGGTGATTTGGTTTTTTAAGGAAAACTGTCCCGAATAGGCCTTGTTTAGGGAATTATAGATTAAATGAATATATGAAAATAAAGTTTTTTAAATAGCAAAGTGTTTTTTAATATATAAATTTTTTTTTTTTTTTAATATTATTCATATTTCAGATTTTAACTTGTTTTGTATGAAATTAATTATTTATTATAAAATATTAAATATATTTACCTCAAATCATAATAATTTATAAAGAATGACCCGTATTTTTTTTTTTTTAATTTTTAAAATAAATATACAACTGCATGTCAGTAGAACTTAAGATATTTTAAAAAATATTTGTGTACACAAATACAAATTCTCAAAACCTATAAATAATAATACTAATGAAGTAATGACCAAAAAAAAAATGAAAAAAAATCCTTGACCCTTTTCACATATTCTATTTTTTTAATTGTCCTCTCTCTGAACAACGAAGGTTAATCCTTCATAGTTTCTCATGATAACTATCAAATATTGAAGATAATCTGTAGTTTAATAATTTGTTAACTTTCTATATATACAGAATAGAAAAAAATATACATGCATGTATATTTTTATACAGGGTGTTTCAGGGTTAAATGGCGAAACTGCAAAAATCAACTAAGGACCTCAAAACAAGAAAAAAAAATTTTTCTCTGAAGGTATGTCTGCAAACGCTTTGTTTAGGAGATATTCACACCTAAATATTTTCTTCGTTATGAATTATTTATGTTATATGAAATAACTAAAACCTATTTATTTGTTCTAATTTATTTATTAATCCAATGGCAACATTAACATTTAATATAAATGTGTATATATATATATATATATATATATATATATATATATATATATATATATATATATATATATAAGTTAAGCGTCTCCGGGCTTGAAAAATAAAAAAAAAGAAGGAAAGAGGAACGAGAAACAATACTCACGACTTCTGAATAAACACTGCTTTATTCGTCCAATAATCTGCCTTATATACAATTGCTATGTTTATTTACATTACAAGATGGTATTAAGGCTGATATCGCCAGTCTCCGGTCTTTATCTCCCCCCCACCAGTTTACGAATAGGATTTTCGGAAACTTATAAATTCCCAGATCGGAGCCACCGGTATCAGCCTTAACCCTTTACAATTATTTGTACCAGTATAAACTTAAAGTACACCAAACCTCACTTCCACTCCGCTGGAACGAGAAATAAATAAAAAGAAATAAACCACAGAAAGTAAACACACAACGTCTTATTAACAATGGAACAGAGCTCTTAATCCTATAAAAATTACAATCACCTCTATTATGCTGCCATATCTTTATTTACAAGAACAACAAAAATAATAAAAAAAAATGACATCATCAACAGTAATAATAATAAAAAAAACATATTTTTTTATAATACGCGATAAGGGTACTACGAATCAATTGGTTTCTGTACCGGTTCTAACATTGGGAGCTTCAATTGTTCAATATGAACAGTTCTCCTCTTCTTAGGTTCGTTAATGCTTTCAATGGTTACCAGATTATGCTCCCTAATAGCAATCACTCTGAATGGGCCCTCGTACCGTAACAATTGTTTCCCTCTGTTGGTTCCAATTCTACGATACACTATTGTTCCGATTTTTAATTCTCCCATTCGGTCACGTACCTGCACATTCTGCCGCGCTACCCGCTTCTCCTTTTCCCGCTGAATTCTCCCCGCTACCTTCCCCCACGTCTTTCCTACCTCTACCCTAGTATTCTGGATTTGCTCTACGAGATGTTCATTGGTCGTTGTTTCCCCCCAATCTCTCCTTGGCCTGCGCATCCCGAATAGTATTTCCACAGGTGAAAATCCCGTTACGGAGTGGATCGAATGGTTGTAAGCTGTTACGGCTTTCTTCATCGCAACATCCGGCTCCAACCCTTTCTCTCCCTGATATACACGGATGTGGTCACTCAACGTGCTGTGCAAGCGTTCGATTCCTCCTCTACTCTTAGGGTGTCCCGGTGTGTTATAATGCCACACAACCTCTAACCTTTTCACCTCCTCCCTAATCGCGGTATTGTCGAATTCTCTACCACCGTCTGATGTGATCCTCTCGGGAACTCCGTAAAACTGTATCCAGATTTGTAGGGCTTCCGCAACTGCATTGGCAGACTTGTCCATGACCTGATGTGCCATAGCTACTTTACTAAAGGTGTCGATGACCGTGACCCACTTGAACCCTTTCCAGGTGAATGTATCGATCTGGAGGTCTTGTAGCGGCATATTCCCTGTAGGTGTCTCTTCCTGAACTCCTCTGGGGGGGTGTCGATCATACTTTGTGCGCATACATACCTCGCATTTCCCGATGATTCCTTGGATAGATTTTTTCATTCCCCACCAGAAATACTTTCGCCGTAATGCCTGCAACGTCTCGTTGACGCCTCGGTGGTTGGTCTTCCCCTGGTGGTATGCCAATGTAATTGCTTGTTGCTGCTCCTCATCCTGTACGGTTTCCACTGCATACTTGCACCGGATGATCGTTCTATCCATGCCTATCCGCTCGGATCTCCACATCCGCTTTATTTTCTCCCATACCGTGTTGTTCCCAACATAGAGATGGTGTGTCTTTCCTGGCTCCGTGGCGTCCTTCAGTGCCGTACGGATTTGCTCCTCGCTCACCCCGGGTTGCGACCAAATGACGCGAATCCTACTTTTCCCGTACCTTCGGTAATCTATTTT